TCCCTTCTTTTGTGAAAGGAAGAAAAAAAAAGTAGTGTGCCAGCAAATAAATAGGTCAAATACAATTACTCATACAGAAAATTCTCAGTTTAAGAGTGGGGAGAAGGAGGAGGAAGCTTGGAAGCTGCCTTAAAAGCCCTGAGGTTGGCCTTTGAATTTATTATAATCTTTTTGTAATTTTTTGTAAATTGTAGCAATTTGTAAAATGGCAGCTAAGTAGGAAATCGAAATGATGCTTTATGCTAAAGGCAGATAAAATGTTGAATACATGCTAAATTGAAATGCCTAATAGCTGTAATTGTATCAAGTTCGTTTTATGGAACTAATAGTTCTTCAAAACCAAACTTGAATTGTATATGAAGATTGATCACTTTTCACTTTTTTTAAAGAAAAAAAATTCGAATTTTGTCACTGTAAAACACTTGCATTTCAGTGCATTAAAACTGTAAGAAGCTCTCTAGCCCTGGAAGTCAAACAGGAGTTAAGCATCCAGAAATCTTTCTCAAGCAAATGGAAGGACTCCCTTGAAGTGGGAACTGGGCCAAAACTTACCAAATACTAAGCTTAGAGAAGGGAGCCTTGCTCTCTCCCTTGTTACACTTCTCAGCCTGCCCTACTCACCTGCAGTCCTCGTGCTTGTGTCTGTGTCAGTGCAAAATAAAAATGCAGATGAGGTGCTGAGGTGAGGGTGGGAGGCTACCTAATTGTGCCGGCTCCACCTTTTGGATAAGACCAACTTTTCAATAATTTGCTGTAATAAGAACAAAAGTGAGACGGGGATCCTGAACTTGAGCCTCTGCTGCCTTTGTCCCTGTATTAGCGTTTATCAGACACTCATGCTTCAAGGGATGTCATGTTGTCAATTTCATTAATGTCACGTCATCCCTCTGGGGTCATGGCCAAATGTTAAATTTTGCTGTGCTTCTCTAGGGGTGAAAAAGTAACTCTTCCTCTTGCCAACTCTGATGACTCTGTTGTGAGTGTTGACTCTGTGCTTTTCATAGTGCACTTGCTACTGGAAGTTCAGAAGTGTCCGTATTGTCATCTGATACAGTGTAGATTTCAAGCCTTTCTGGAAGACTCAAAACTATGAAGTCTCTTTATTTTCTGATTTTGAAAAGAATTTTTTTTTTTAAGTCAACCTCGTTGTAGATAGATTCAAAGTTAGCAACTCATAGAATTAAAAAAGCTTCGTATTTATTTGTGTTTAAAGGCAAGAATCAAGGTATCTTACTCTGAACAAGGCTACTGAGTGCAATATTAAGTTTGTCTGTCACCCACAAGCAGGTTTTATATGTTAATCATTTAATATGTAAAAACATTTTAAGATCAAATGTGAATAGAGAATTTTTGCCTGCTCAGTTTGGAAACTAAAAAAAAGAAATAAAGGAGAAGCAATACTGACAGGTTAAATCTGGTTACTGTTAACAGAAGACTATATAATTACTAGGTTTTATACTGTGAGAGGTTATAGTTAAAGGTAAAATTGCACTGAAGAGAGACTTTCCTACTCATGTTCAATTTTGAAAGAAGTATTGATCTGAAACCTAAATTTTCTCAAAATAATCAGCGTTACAATAGACCGTAAGGAAATAAAGAACAAAATAAGGCTTCTGACCCATTCTGATGAGGAAATTGAGACACAGGAATGATTTCTTTAAAACTGCACAGAACAAGTGGCAAAAGTGTGTTACCCCGAGTGTCTGACACCCACGTACAGTCTGCCTTCTGAAAAACATCTTTGGTTACATATTCTCCCTAAGTCCGTATCTTGATTTCTGTAAGGAAACCATGTTCTAGACTTGGTGTTTTACTGTATCATTTCTTCAGGCATCCCATACCTGGGACAAGTACCCTTCTAGCTGCATTTCTTGCTCTGTGTCATCTTGTGGTACTCCAAAACTGCTTCACTGATAAGACAGGAGGCAATCTTGTGTAAAAAATCTCTGAGGATGCCTATGGGGCAATTGAATTGCTTAGCTGCAGATATGTAATAGCACTTCAAGAGTTCCTATGGCCAGCTGCCTTCCTCTAGGAATGTCTCAGATAATTCTCCCTTGACTAATAAAGGAAATACCTTTTTTAAGTAAGAGGGGAGGTTGACTAAAGAGTCATCAAGAGCAATCGTTTTTTTTTCTATTGTGGTTGATAACTGTGATTACTGGTCAAAGGTAAGGGATCTAAGGCTGGTTATTGCTTTTACACAGCATACATATTAAAGTTCTGAATTTGCCAGACACTGTAATGCAGACTAGACTGGCACAATTTTTAAACCTTTGTTTCCGTTGACCAGCATTTATATTGGGTGGTCTTTAATGATGGCTTTCAATGATGCTAGGTCTGGCAGGATATAGAGTGAAATCGGCCCTTTCAATTCAGGAGTTGGAGAAATAGTGAGCTTCATACAGCAGGGGAAGTACAACCAACCTGCATAGTAATTTGAAGTTTCTGCAGTCTGAAATTGGTGATTTTGTAGCTGAAATGTGCAGGAGAAACTTGCTGATCATTAGTGCAATAAGGATTTTGTTCCTGTGTGCAAGTGGCCTTTTGTGTTTCTGTGCTTGTAGATACACTTGCTCACATAAATGAGTTGTGTGCAGTGTCCCTAGCCCTAGTTTTGCCTACAG